GTCTCCTGACTGTAGCTGTTTGGAAGAGAGGGCCCTCATAGATATGCTAAAGCCCTGAAATGCGTTTACAACTTCCAGTCAGATAAAGTTATGGAAAGGTTGAGACACCGAGAGAAGGAGGAGGGGGAACAATAAAAAAGCAAAGGGTCACAACAGTAGATGCTTCTATTCTTCCTGCCATATAATAGAAATAATTAAAAGAAAAATTATGTTTAGTGGACTTGAGAGAAAAAGTCAGTTATAAAGGCAGCCTGAATAACTTTCCTTAACAAATGTTACTGATGCTTTACATCACCAAAAAGATTAGGTATCCTATTACACAATACAGGATTATATTGTGCAAGACATGTACCAAGCTTCATCCTACACCAGGGGAGCTTCAGGAATAGGCTGCCCAGGGATGTGAAGTCACCATCCCTGGAGGCATTCCAAGAAACAGTTGTTTTCTTGTTCCAAGAAAATGGCTGTTATATGCTCTAGTTGACAAGGTGATGATCAATCAAAGGTTGGATTTGATCATCTTGGAGGTCTTTTTAACCTAAATGATTCTATGATTCTATGCTGAATACTACTATCAGAAATTTAAAATGTTACATTAATTTATTTGCTACAGAGAAAACACATGTTCCCTTCTTGGCCAAAGAGAATCTTATTTACTCTTTTTTAATTTATTTTGTGTGTGTTAAAAACTTAATTTCTCTCATGGTCATTGACAAACTACAACAATGTAGCAAACTATTAATATACGCTGGATAATTTCAGTAGACTTTTGGAAAAAAATGATTTTGACCTTTAAGGTTTACCTTTGGAGAAAGCATTTCACACATTTTAGAAATCAGTGTTACAAATAGCTTTTGTTCCACTAACATATGAATGAAAAAAAAACCCTAACAGGGACATATGTCCTTATGGTAATTTGACATTTAAACACAAAATTAGCCTATTTTGATACTGTCTACATTTTTCTTCCTCAGCCCATAGCTTTTAACTGTTCAAAACCACAAATTGTGTTTTGGACTATGATTTAAACAAGAAGTCAAAGCTGTCAGAGACTTAATTTTGGAGCTGTATCTGGAACAGAATCCAAATAAGAACACAACTTTCCCACTTGTGCCTCAGACAGAAAATACTCGATTTGTCTTTGCTGTTACCAAGGCCATTAAACCTGAGGGAGTTTGACCTGTTTTATAGAAAAACATGGTTGCAGCTACAAAGTGTGGATTGCTCATAACACAGCCTGTGTTGATTTAAAAAAAAAATGCATCTTAAAATTCCAATATATGGAAATGGAAGGGGGATTTATATTTACTGAAGAAATAGGGATTAAAAGAATTTTAAAGAATTCATTTTAAAGCTTACTTTTTAAATTGTACATTTAAAGTATTGTGTTCATATTTCCCATCTCATTTCTGCCTATGAGTTATTTTTTGACAGTTTTAAGAATCAGGTGTATTTAGAAGAATATACATTGCTGTCCAGTTGGTATTTCCTTGAGATTTTTTTTATTTAGCATTTACAAACATAGCTTATAAAATCTGGAACAGTATTGCCTTAAAAATATCAAGTTAGGTTTTTTTAGGGTGCTAGACATTTTTACATTCTTGTTCTGAGCAATGTAGTTGAAATACTAGGGTAAGCCCATTACACTTTATAGAAGCAGCTCTCTGTAGTCTCGACAGACCGAATTCCTTGGATAGGAATTAGATAGTTCTAATAGTAATTACAAAATATTAATTATTGCTGGCTCTTGCTTATCACTATCTTTTTGTTCAAATGCTTTACAATAACACTGTTCTCAAAGAGCAAGGCACAGTGCTCCCAGCATTCACTGCCATGGGAGTGAAAGATTATCCACAGGTACCTGTGATTAGGCCATAAATTCCTCCAAGTCCCTAGCATAACTTGCTTTTCACACTTTCCATTTCCCCTGCCATTAAGCTTCATGGATAGTTTTCCACAGCTTAGAGAGCAGAGTTCTTTAGATTTCCAGACATTCTCCTACCCCTACATTTTCTGCCCAACTACAAACTCCTCCACTAAAGATGGCAACACCACCAACAGCACAGCACCAATGGCACTGGGTCAACAATCCTCAGACAAAACAATGAAGACATGAGGGCAATTTTGAAAGCTGTTCTTACCAGGCAAAACTCATAGAGGTTACTGGCACTTGATCAGCTTACCAGCAACACCAGCAACACTGGCGAGTACAGCATGGTAGTAGAGCAGCCTCATAATAGTGGTAATTAACCTCAAAAGATGTGCTGATTTTCTCCTATACTTAAATACATGAAAATGCCATTTTTCTAAGGGAAAATAACATAGCAATAGTTTTTACTATCAGCATAAAATAGCAATTTCTGTGCAGCAGGGGAAAAAAATTAAGTTGCACTAACTTTTCAGTTTGAGTATTGCTTTTGTGTATGCCACCAGGTGATAGATCTTACAGCTCAGTCCTGGGAAAAACACACCTTGACCTTTCCCTGCTCATAAAAGATGCTTGCACTTCCACATATTAAACAATACATATCCTTTTTGCCAGCAGTACAGGAAAAAGTAGTGTTTCCAGAAGAAAACAGTCTGTAACATTTGACTCATCTCCTTTTTCTTTAGTGTTGGAAAAGCAGGAGAAGCCCCTTCTTAACAACATTTTTATGTTTTTAAGGAAGTGAAGGACACTGACATATAACACTGCATCCATACTAGTGAATGGCAGTTTTCTATGCTAAGGGAACAGTGAAGAACACCCTGGGATGAGCTACAGGACATTGAGCCACTTGCTAAATGAGAGCCTGCCAAGGTGGGGGCGTGGCAGAGAGCACAGAATACAACAGCCCATCTGTGTGACTATCCATGTTCTCAACATGTCATCTGAACCCTCCTTTAGAAGAACTGATGTCACGCTAAGTCCTCCAACCTATTGTCCCAAATTGTTGCTCAGAGAATAATTCAAAAGCATTTTTTGTTGCAAGATCCGAAGATAATGGAGTCTTACTTTAAGAATTTCAGTCACATGAAAAGATGCAAACAAAATGCTTTTCTAGGGCAGCAGATTTATTAGAAGAAAGCATCTGAAATGCTCAAAAGCCTGGACTGCTTGATCCAGTTTTGAGCCTCCTTGAACTTCCAGAAAAATATGATTAAATTCTTAGAGGTTTCTTCTGAGAGTCAGAGCAATTTATGTGAGTAGGACACTTGCACCATGAATGTGGGAACCTGGCTCTGCTTGAGTTTTGCAGATGGTAAGACTGTTACCATCGCAGGACCCATCAGCACAAGATTGCTTCATTGTCACACTTTGTAGACAACAATTAAAAACATACACGAAGGCGCTTACCAAGACAAACCTCTGCACATAGTTCTCAATCAGCTTGTTGCAACAAGGAGTGAACATGCACAAAGACAAAAGAACACTTGGAGACATTGAGCTAAAGGAGAATTACATTTTTACCCCTTTTTGCCTATTAGTGTCCTACCTCATTATGCCTGTTCTGGCATAGTGGAAGCCTTTGATGTACCACGACAAGTTAAAATAAAAAAAATTACGTAAGACATTGTTTTACTTCTTGTTGGAGCAGACTTAAAACAAATTCACTCTTCCCTTGAGGTATTACAAGACTATTTAGAATTCTTGTTCCAGATTTGCCATGAAGACAATCAAATCCAAATTATAAAATCCTGTGGGTGTGGTCAGTTAACTTTAGATTGTTGCAGTCACAAAAGCAAAAATTGTGACCAAGATCATAGTTGCACAGATTAGTTAAACCTCTGTCTCCCAGATGATGCATAGATGTACTTGCATATACTAGGCAGAAAATTTCCAAGTCCAAGTCCCAAGAATAGTTTTGTAAAATGCTAAAGATAAGAAATAGCTAACGGCATACATACAGAATCTATACAATGAGAAAAAAATTCAAAAGAAGGTTCCATCTTCTTGGGTCATTCTAAGCCCAAGTACAGGCTCAGTAGAGAATGCATTGAGAGCACCCCTGAATAGGACTTGGAATGTGAATGAGAAGCTGGAGATGACCCAGCCAAATGCATCCTAGGCTGCATCCCAAGCAGTGCAGCTAGCAGGGGAGGAGGGGACTCTGCCCCTCTATTCTGGCTTCATGGGACTGTACCTGGAGTGCTGCACCAGCTCTGTGGCTCTCAATACCTGACCTGTTGCAGATGGTCCAGAGGAAGGCTAGAAAGATGGTCTGAGGGCTGGAGTAGCTCTTTTATGAAGACCTAAGTCTGATCGAGAGGGAAGGAGAGGGCAGGGCAGGGCAGGGCAGGGCAGGGCAGGGCAGGGCAGGGCAGGGCAGGGCAGGGCAGGGAAGGGCAGGGAAGGGCAGGGAAGGGCAGGGAGACATAGCAGCCTTGTGTACCTACAGGGGACTACAAGAAAGCTGGGGTGGAACTTTTGACAATACAGGACAGGAAGGGAACAGCTTCAGACTGAGTAGGTTTAAATTAAGGTGTCAGGAAGGAGTTCTTTCCTGTGAGGATGGTGAACCACTGCAATCAGATTGCCCTGGTAAATTGTCCATGCCTCAGCCATGAACTGTTCAAGGCCAGGTTAGATGGGCCACTGAGCAACCTGGTCTAGTGGAAAGTGTCCCTGCTCACAGCAGGGGAATTGGAACTGGGTCATCTATAAGGTCCCTTTCAACCCAAACCATTCTATGATTCTATCATCTGGCAACATCATTATGTCTTTTTCAATACAGCTACAGAAGAAAAAAAAAAAGCCAAAAAAACCTCCGCACCCCCAAAAAAGCAATTTTAAAAGGAACTTACATGTGTTAATCCAGTTACTAAAAACTTGTCTTAGAACAGTAAACCAAATGTTAAGTTCTAAAATCTGTAATTCTGTTTTCCTGAGATGGCTACAACGGAAGTTTGACCATGTGTACTCAGAGACAGGATTTGACTTTATCTATGAAATTCTGAGTAATGGTATTATTTGTTAATTAAAGCAGTACATAAAGAAAGTAATAATCACATTTCAGTCAAATAAAATTCAGTTTATCTTTATTCAAGATTAAGAAGGGTGGGGTAAGTTGGGGTGGAAACCAATAGAGCCATGCCATGAAAGCCATGCAGCTGAACGAAAAGGAAGTGCAACAATCAGACTTACAAATGTTTCAGCAATTTCTTAGAGGTAATTGTAACCCTTATCAAACTGAGAACACACATGACATTTCTCAAATGTATTAATTTTACATAACAGTCATATTGAAGAGGAGTGGTTCTTTCTTTACTGAAAGTGGCATTTCAGTAAAGGCCAAGATACACTTTTAAACACCACAGTGGGCAGAACTAAATGCCTACATTTTAATTTTTATCGACATCCCCTTTTCTAGTTGCATATACCCTTTCAATAAAAGCTAACGTACCTATTCAGCCTTCTTGTTGAAAAAAATATGCATATTGCAATAAGAAATGAGGCACAGCAGAGAAGACATCTCATACAACCGGCAGTAATCCAGAAAATTTCATGATGGCACAAGTCTCTAAATACATTACTTTTCACCCTGGGGTGATATATAGGTAAAGAAGACAACTGGTGTTTGTCAAGAAATGACAAAATTCTTTCATGACAGTATGGAAAAGCTTTATAAAAAAACCCAACTAATTCAAAAGACACAAATTATGGACTAGAAAAGGGATCTATTGAAAATCATATTTTCATTACAAGTGGAAATCAAGGGACGTAGAAAAGAAGTCCCACATTGACTTCTGGACATTTCAGACTCTGTCTTAAGGCTTTTAGATAGAAAATCAAAATAATTTTATAGTCTGTAAGAAAAATGCCAGTCTGGGGGAATTTATATCTTTTCCAAAACATGAACTGCTTAACCACAAATATGCACATTTAAAGTAAATTTTTCCACATTAGGAGTTAAATTGCTTAAATACTACCAAAGAGCCAGCTAAGATTTGAGAATTCGAGTTTGTTGGCAAAATAAATGTAAGAAATAACTAAAATAGAGGCTCTGTGGAGAGAAAATATTTAGAATCTGATAAATGGAAAAGCTACACACAAATGGGAATGTACAAGAACAAACAAGATGTATTGTAAGTGAAATTTGCAGTAAGTGCTGGGGATGCAGAGGAGACCACCTACTTATCAATAACATTATAAGGCTTTTAAATGAACTATCATGCCCAAGACAGAAATGACAGATGAAAAACAAATAGATAAAGAATGGTACACCTAAAACCACGACTTATCTAAGGCAAAGTATGGAAGTTTGGCATGATATAACCTGAGTTAATACTCTTGGTATGTACTTGGTGTACAAAATGATTGGAGTAACACCATCATTGTAATAGTCTTTAATCCCCTTATAATATTTTTATTCCATTTGCAATTTATGGGGAAAATTGCAAGATTACCGGTATTTAGTAATCTGCTAAATGGTTAAACACCAATGGCAAGACTTACAGTAAATTAAATATCTGCAACTATAGGTTACACGCTAGTTGTTTAAGATTTACAATAACGGAACAGTCTGGATACTTCAAGCATCACCAGCAAAGTTAGAATTCTATCCTGTAGCTATAAATATTCCAAACTATTTTTTGGAAATAATATTTTGGCAGGAGGTGCTTTCTATATGTACAAGATACTTTGAAGACTTTGATATGGGAATTTATAGAAATCTTCATGTAACACTATTGTTTCATGTACTTTTTGTATCAACTGCAGTAAATGGCCATTCAACAATACTATGACTACTACATCTAAGAAATAAACAGAATTGCAGACATTCAAGCTAATAAAATACTGCTGTCTGGATATGAAACGAAGTTTCATTGGGTAAGAAAAGTTAATAAAAGCAACTGTGACATATAATATTTATTATTTAATATAAATTTGACTTCACTAGTCACTTGCTTAGCACACAATATTGTGTAATTCAAGGCATTTATATTTGGTATGCAACAGTGCACTTATAACCCCATAAACTCCTTCTTGAGTTGCAAGACTGTTTCTAACTTCTATTTAAAATAATAGGCTTTTATTCATGTGTTTAGTGCAGAGTTAATTGTCCCCAATACGCATTTTTGTAAACTGTTAAATTTTCTGCAATAATTGACAGAGGTGCTGCAATATTTCCTTGAGTAGGTTGTAAAAAAGTTCACACTAAAAGCAATAGTGTACTGTTAATGTGACCTGGTCCATTCATTTACAAAAAGCCCTAGTATAGTCAACTAAGCAGCCCCTCGTGACCTAAATTCAAATTCTCTAATCAGTAGCCTCCTTCTTATATTCTGAGTTACATCACTAGTGATTAAGTTAACATTTCCTTTGACAAAGAAATTTGTATTTCAACACAGCCTCAAGTCATATTAAAACCAAAACATGAAGTACTGATTTTCACAATTAAATCAAAATTGCAAGGTTTGCTCCAAATAGTATCATAAGAATTATTCCAGAGTTCAATTTCAGTATCAAAGGTTAAGACAAACTCACTTTATACTGCTTATATAAAAAATGAAACCTGAAATACTTACATTAAAAAATCAAGCAAACCAAGACAAAACTTGGCAGACAATTTTTATCATTACGTATTTTTTTAAGTTAACATCATCTGTTTTTCTGATATAGACTGCTGTGACCATAATAAATAATTGGATAAATCTTCCCTCCCTCCTGTTTTTGCTTTTGTTGATGATATTCAAACAGTTCTGCTTGTGAAAGAAGAATTAAAAGGAAGCTGTTCAGTGTTCTTCATATCTTGGTGCTTCTCCATTCATTACAATTTTGGCTGATTCTCTCGTACTTCTTCTAGTTTAGAAAGGATCCACTGTGTGAAGAAAAAAGTGAAAATAAAAAGCTTTCTGTGGTACAAAACAGACAAAGCAGCTGAAAACTAGAATGGTTTTTGTCACTGCCTTTACTACCTGCTCTCTTCCTAACTGAGTTTTAAGACAGTGTTAAAAATTATTTTGTGAGTATAAACCCCTGGCTTTCTAACAAAAGTGGAGCCATTTAAGCACCAATATTTGACATTTGATACCATGTCTAATTAAACTTGTTTCCTGCTCTGTACTTCAAGGAATAAGATTTGAAAAAAAAAAGAAGATAACATTTAATCCCCATCCTGGCTCTGCTTTCATCTACAACTCTAGACAAATCAGAGACAACAACAGAGAAGCAAGGATCACAACAGAAGTCAGAAGACAGTAACAGCAGCAGTGTGATAGGTTATTTAGAAAAAAAGCGTTATTTAACTATATCTTGTTTCTTTTAAGGAATTTCATATTGGACTGTTTACATTACATAAAGGGGAAATTAGTTTCCCAAGAGTATTAAAGAAAAAAAATTTGTGAGGTTCCTGTGCTCCTCTAGGAAAATACACACCCCAGTATTTTTGTGGAAGATGTACTCAAATTTTTCACCTTTCTTTTCCTTACTTAAAACTTGTGGCATATGTAACATGATGTACTAATTTCACTTTTGGAATTGTTCCTGATTTAGCTGGGGTATAGATGGGATTCCTTTCCCCGAGAGACTAATGGATCTCAGCAGTGCCCACCCTTGCTCCACCACAGTCAAAATGAAAAAAAATAAAAGCTCAGTACCTTCAAAGATTACAGGCAAGTCAAATTTAGCATAGGACTCTTATCTTTCAGAGGTAAGAGTTAACTGCTATCACTTACATGTAGCTAGAAACTAGCCTCACAAAGACAAATGCAACCTAAACTGGTAAGAAGATGCAGAAGCAACTTAAACTAATGAGAGAATGCAACTTTTGCAAGCTGTCTGAAACCACGACCCCAGGGAACTACACCCCACTAAAATATATACAAGACTCATTCATTTTCTGTGAAAATTACCAGCTATACTAGTTAAAAACAAGGACAAACTTTGACCTTATAGTTCTGGTAGCAGATCTGAACTGTTCCTACCATCTGTTACAGTCAAAACTAGTGATGTCAAAACGAAGATGTTACAGAGAAAATGTATAAAAAAATAGCAGCAATATCATTTATCAATTAAACTACTGGAATTTTTATTAAGGATAGTCTTCATTCTTCAAAAAAACCTGTATTTTGAAGAGCAGAGCAGTAACATCCCACCCCTGCCCACCACCTGGAACAAGAAGTAGTGTGCAAATACTTTTGTTCTATTAAAATGTGCTATTTTAATTCACATTCTAGATTGTTTAGTTTTGGTTAGTATTCCTGTTTAATCAATCTTTTGTCAGACTACTGTAATTCAAAAGATTTATGTGGAGAAAAGTCTGATGTTGGAATTGAGTTTTTTAGAATTCAATACTGAGTAAATTATTGCTTCTTTCATGTGTGTAACAGATATATGGAAATACTGAATTTTAAATGTACGTAGTTTCAGGTTAAGATTATTTCTGTTAAAATTGTGACTTTTTAATTCAAATTTTCCACTATAATTTTAATTGTATTTTGACTTTACCTTAGCATCCTCTGGACTTCTAAAATTTATAATTTTTCCAAATTCTTTGGCATGGAAGACAGATTTAACTCGTTCCTAAAAAAAAAAAAAAAACAAAACCAAAACAGTAACTCAAAATTGAACTTAGTTACTTCAGGCTTTAAGACTACGATGCTATTTACTATCAAGGCAGCTATAATGGTTCAAACAGCCACGTGTACCAAGAACAGTCATCTGAGTATGTTTGCATCACATGCACATACCCTGAGAGAGACCATTTTCTGCAGGAAAGCACAGTAGAGTGAACACTCCAGCAGTAACAGACTCCCCTTTTTACCATGGAGTCCCTGGATAAGGGTCTATAAATGTGTGTAGAATGGAAGGCAGATAATGGACATGTGGTAACAAAATCCATTACTCCCCAAGGTTTTAATTTGCAATTCTCCTTCAAGTCATTACTTGAGTGGACATTCCACCAATACTGACTTGCAAGTAGTGGACTACTTCCAGGTAGTGAAAACAGCAACTTAGGCTTCAGAAAGAAAAATGTAAGGAGTTATTTGCAAAATATAGTTTCCAACCATAGTTTTCAATAAAGAGCATACTGCAGACATGTAAATGGATTCTGAAATGACTGCTGTGTAGAGGTAAAGATGGATATGTTATTCAGCATTGTCTGAAATGGCAGAAACGCTAAGAATTATTTCATCCTGTAAAAGTTCACTTGCTGTCAGAAATCCAGTTTGGAGGATTCCAAACCAATATGGCTCTGCCTTTCATGCTCTCTGCAATAGAAACAAATAATCTGAGTGAAAAACTGAATGATGTTGTGCACCATCAAGACCGTCCTGACAACCAATATGTGTAATTACACACATGAAGCTTACTAAAAACAGAAACAACACACTGGCAGACAAATTTACTGAATCAAAGTTCAATAAAGTACAGCTAATATACCAGTAAGAATTAATTTTCTAATTCAAAAAACTGGTCTGTAAATAGTCATTGGTGGTCATCTTTCTCCTTATGTCCTCTGCCAGCTTACCAGGGTTTTTAAGGCATTTTAAGGATTTTTTTAAGGAAAAATTGCAACTAAGAGCAAAATTCTTCAATTTGTATTGAGAGGGGAAAAATATATGTCATTACAGTTATTTTTAAAGACAATAAAACCTTATTATGTGCCCCAGAGAGCATAATAAAAATATTCTGCAATCTTCTGATCCTCTTATCATATTGGCATCTTCCAGACTATGAACAAACACTGAACTGGTGCATACAAACAAAAAATTCCTACAGTGCAAGGAATAATCTCATCTGCAAAGACTAAGTCTCCATGCTGCTTGTAACTAGTCCGAGACTAGTTATTTGAGGAGTTCACTCATGCCAAGCTTCAACTCCTTTCTCTGAGTGTATCTCAAATACAAAGGAGATCAAGAATTCAGAGAAGAGTGAGCAGAAATTCAAAGTTCAATTTCATAAATAGTAACACAAAAACAGTAACAACAATACACAGTAAAAGCAATGTACCTTGGCTTCTATGCGCAATCTTCGACCATCGATGATGAATGGTTCTTTGGTGAACTCATCGTAAGTGTACTGCCATTCACATGTCAGCTGTCCAAATGCCCCTTTTGTCACAAATAACACACCGCTAGGCACCAGAAAATAAAAGTAGTTTTAAAAATTAATGTAAAAATACTTAAAGGTTACCATGTTACCCTTGCTCTAGTGAATTAATTTGCCATTGCAAAAAAGGTTTAATCTTATGATCTGTAATTATACAGCACACTTTCCAAAAGAGTGAAATTTGAAACTCCCCCTAACATGTAAAATACTGTGTTTCATAGCACTACTTCAAGCTGTATTTGAGATCCTACTCCACAGCTAGACATCGACTGTTTTTGTATTATCCCTTCTTCCATACACCATCTCAAGTGAATCCCACAGTTCAGGTGATTTTAGTCTAACCCAGCTTGTAACAAATCCTTCTCAGCTAAAGAAATCTTAAAATCAATATTTTTTTCCCTTCTAAAATAGGAGAGAAATAATATTGAACACTATCCTGCTGAAAATGACACTGTTGAAGATAATTATCAGCATATTAGGACACCTACCCCATTATTTTGTCTACATATATGATGACACTGCAGGTACTGATCAGCAATCATCACGGCATGCACATTTTAACAACTGTTCTAAGTACATATTATTTGGAGTTGAAACTATTTACCTTTTTGTTACCATTAACAGATCTGTACTGTTGACCATAGCATGTGCAATATATCTGAGTTTTGCAAATCTTCCATTTTCAATTTTCTAAAAGAGATAAAATTTTTATAGCTTTGAATATGCTAGTAATGTACTAATTTTGTCTTTAAAAAGTACTTTTGCTCCAAAAATACAAATTGTAACAAAGCACAAAGCACATACTCTTAAAGAAAAGGCTACTTTTCATAAAGTCAGAATATAACTAACATCTGTAATATGTAATATTTCTAACTACTTGGTTGCTGTTAATACACCTATGTAAATAAAACTCAATCCTAACCAAAACTGACAAGGAACAATATAATTTTTTAAAAAAATTCAGGACTCAGTTTTCTACATATTTTTGGTACACACTGAACTTCTGCCAACACATTTTTGAGACAACAAACAAAATAAAGATTCCTTTCCTACTTTATCTCATTACCTCCAAAATACTGACTGATTAACTCTGAGAATAAATTTATACCTAACTGTATATAAGAACCCTTATGTCAACAGTGGGACTTAAGATAATGCACTTGAGTAATATTTTGGATTCCTGTATGTTATTTTGTTTCCCCATGAACTTAACCATTTCCTACAATTAATGTGTAGCAGAATACTTTTAATGTGCAATATATTCTAAATATTGATGACAGCAGATTAGTAACTTTTTGAAAACAGAAGCCCTGTACCTCTCACCTGGCAACCATTGGATTTCTAATTTTCTGAGCAGTGAGTGATTAAACTAGTGGTCAAATTAATATTGCTGCATCTTGGTTGGGAATAGTATCACAACTGCTTGTATGCTTCCCAGCTGCTACAACTTGGAAGCAATACCAGATTAGAACAAACTAGTATGATTCAATAAAGTTTTAACTACAAACATATAGCTTCAGATATGTATGCCAGAAGTTTAAAAATATCTAGATCTGTTCTTAAAGCAGTTAAGAAAGCAAAGCCAATCAATGTGTGTTCCCCAATGCAGTAAAATTATGAAGACGTTTTATTATTGCAAAAAACTTCAAATTTGACTGCATGGATAATTCCACTTGCCCAAAGAGATGTTTTAAAAATTATATTTTCCCCAAAGATACTGATTCTTTTGTGACTAAAATGCATGAATATTTGAGTAGGTTACCCTAAAGTGAGCTTTCCAAAAAGCTCTTAGAAAGTTCAAATTATTTCTCTTTCCCCAACTCTGTTAGGCTACAAACCACAGCTATCAGTTATGTGCCTACTTAAGTCACTGCTTGCATTCATTTCTGCAAGAGCTAGTGTCAGGAGCAGGAAGAATTCAGCAAGAAGAACGATGTAAGAAATGAGGAACTAAGGCATGGATTTTTTTTTTTTTTTTTTTTTAATTCTGGAAGCTTCTTATTCAAGCTCTATTGAGGTGTTGCTCTGCCTCTGAAATGTGTCTCTCCCTGCCTCTTGTATTAGAAGCTTGGACCTAAATAAATAAATAACTTTAAAAACCTCTCTAAAAGGTAGCTCCTACACCATTGCAGTACATAACACGCTGAATGGTTAGAAGACAGAGGAGGCTGTATGGACAGAATATGAACAGCATGGATAGGATACCTGATCTACACGTCAAGCTACTGGTCTAGGTCTGTGCTATGACGGACTTTCATTAGTGGCCTGGAAAGAAAGACAGGGAAATGGAAGAGAAGGCTGACAGGAAATTAAAGAAAAAACGTGTTGGAAAGAGCAAGGATGGTTCAGAATAGGTATAAAATACACTTAACTGCAAGACACTGCGACAATGACACAAATTTCTCTTACTGACCAAACATAAATATCACACAGAATGACCAGTATCTCTGTTCTATTCACAGTAAGAATAGGGTAAAAGCATTTAGCAATTTAGCCTTATTAGGACAGAGAGGATTTTCTAGTGAAAGAAATTACTTTCTTTCAGTTTTCTTCACATAGCACTGAAGTAAGGCTCTCAATCTAAATATTAATACCCCACAGGTGGGATTTAGGAAAGGGGTGTGACCTCTTTCTGTCTTCTCATTAGCTTGCTAGCTAATTTTCAACAAGTCTTGTCTCCTTGCTGTAACTTACTCAGCTTGCAGATAACAAATTCGGAATTGTGAAAATTATTATGGAGATACAGGACTTAACTACTGCACAAGTGACAACCTTAAACAAAAGCTATTTAAACATATACCAAATTCCACAGAGTGTTTCATTCCACCAAGATTCCCAAACACACGATTTGTGGAGCACAAAAACATTGTTGGCATGTGGAAAACACCGAGATAACTAATTCTCATTGTTAGCTGTGAGTCAGAAGTCATAAACTCAAGTTATCTGTGTTTTGTAGACAACAGGAGTTAATTGGGAAATAAAATACACAGAAATACTGCACAAGCTATTTACGAAGGGAACACATGCCAATGCTAAGCAGTAACTACTTTTAAATTTTCTGCCTTTGGATTTTTCTACATTTTATTTACAATCTTGATCACTTTTAGTGATCAAGATCAATTACTTATTTTCATTATGAAATACATCATAGAGCTGACAATTCTTATAACAAGCTGACTACTATACTCTGCTACTGAAGTGCCTTATAGAACTCAAATGCAAAATTATATATAATTGATCACTCAAAACAGATGCATAAATAGTTCTTAGAACTTTTATGATACGTAGCTATTGTTTAGAGAAACACAGCAACTTGGACCACTGTTTGGTGATGCAAAACTATGAAAGTTAACATTGATCAATCATTCTTTGTTCAATGTTAGTTTCAACATTGTAAAAAAAACACATAAAAAATTTTAAAAACAAATCTGCATTTCAAATTAAAATAATTTTAATAACCTGATTAAGTACATGCAAATCTATTTTAAAAAGACACTCCAGAAGCTGTAAAGCAGGAAATAACACAAGAGATACCCTCCTTTGCAAATTCTTACCTGTAGTACAATTACTTAGATGTCACTGCAATAACCTAGCAGTAAATATGATCAGTTTTGCATGTATATGCAAACACGCTCAATGTCTTAAAGGTGGCATCTCTGCACTTGGGGAGATTCCTAACCACACCATACCCTCTTAATGTAATGAGAAGCAAGCAGAGAGGCCTATGACAAAGTTAGAAATTATACAGATCAAAATTAAATACTGGAGGCAAAAATTAAAATATGATTCTTCTAGATTCTTAGAACTAGGTAAAAGTTCTAAAAAATACTAGTAGTATGTGTGATACTTAAGTCAGAATGTTTGATATCCTTCTTGAACTCATCTCAGATGAAACAGTATGTAAAAAAATACTGAAAAGGCTGTTACTACTTAAAAAGTGGTTATAAATCTGCTGGTCTCTCTTGATGTTCAAATTACCTTTTATCTGGAATAAAATACTACCAGTGTATTTCCCCATGAACCATTTACTGTACAAATGTGTGAATTCTGAAGGTAATCCACTGTTGTTGCTAGAAATTCCAATCCTGAATGCATTTTTCAGCTCAAATTACATGGTTAATTTTTCAAAAGCTGCAGAATTGCTAATTTCAGCAGGCTAACCTGGTATGATTACCTATTCAGTCTTCCCCACAGAAATATTACATAGTTCTAAGCAGTTCCCAGCTGACTTGTCAGATGTAGCTTGAATGAGTGTGAAAAAGGGGGAGAAAGTGTTAAAGAAAAAATAGCATGTAAAACATTCATTTTTGCCATGCAAAATTCTCTCATCATTTATGAATAATAACTACTGATAATATTTTATTACCTACTTCCTGATTTCAGTTATCCCAATGTTCAATGCCATTATACAAAACCTAAAGCAATGTGCAATGTCCATGATGTTTTAGAGTCTGTATTCAAGACTCCATTTAGCCATGCTGCACAGTAACTCTGATATCAACATGGTTTTATTAAAATCAGTGGGAATTTGTGGTCATGATTAACCTTTCAATCTAAGGCCACAGTATGCAAGACAATAAAAATTAGGACATCAGCTTTCAGAATGCGAAACTCCTACTCTACAACAGAAAAACAGATTGCTTCTGCTGACTGGCAGAATTATTTTAATAAATTTTTGATCTGAATACACAGGAGAATTTGTTTCAGCAGCTGAAATGAAGAAACCATACTGACCTACACTTTCATTATGACAACCACATCTAGACGTTCTGTTTCCTGCCAACACAACCAAAATACTTGATTCATACCATTTGAAGCATTAGTACAGCATCAGCAGGGAAATTAAAGAATATTGTCCTTAAACTTCAGTCACAGTCAAGTTAAAACAAAACTGAGTAATGCAAGCTTCCATGTTCCTCTGGAACAACTGGTGTTAGCTAGTTTCAGACAGCTTCCTAGAAACATCTTCTATTTGGGTTTGGGCAACCGCTATGTAATAGTGCCCAAATGTTACATATTTCAGTGGTAAGGCTCCTGCTTCTTCCTTTAACCTACACAGATAAGGTTTCCCAAAGCACAACAGATCATGACATCTGTGACTAAGTAAAGGGGCCAGAAAACTAGATGGCATGCATGAGTACCTGGTAAGTGTCTGGACAATGTCAAATAAAAATGATTTTGAACTTCACAAAGAATATAATTTTATGAAGTGAAACCTATCCTGAAGTTTTAGGGTACTTCAGGATATGGATGTTTATGTTTTAATTTGAATCCAAGCTCAAGAACAGTGAGGGAAAGACAGAAAGAATTAGCATGACATACTTTTCTGACTCCTCGGATGTTCTTCCTGGCAGACCAGAGTGTGAATACTAAGGAACAAGGGCCTGCTAGAATCACTTCAATATCCTACCTGATATGAAGCTCATAACCAAAAAGAATCACTAAACCAAAAGCTGAACACCTCCAATACAACAGGATATGGTACTGAAGCACAGCTTTGAAGGACTGTCTTCTCTGAAGCAAAATAATTATGCAGCAACCTTTAACAACACAGTATAAGTGTCCTCACAAACAGATTATAAAAGCAAATTAAAAATAATAATAATAAAAAAATTGCGTATGTTTTCAGGTTAGGCAGATAGACACAGCAAACCACTGACTGCACAGCACAACTGGTAATGACTTGGCTT